CTGGGGCGGGATGGGGTGGGGGACAAGGGCAGGAGGTGGAGGAGGCGAGACGGAGAGGCGGAGGAGGAGGAGGAGGAGGGGGAAAGGAGGAGGAGGAAGAGAAGGAGGAGGAGAAGGACGAGGACGAGGACGAGGAGGAGGCGGGAGGAGGAGGAGGAGGAGGAGAGGGATGAGGAAGAGTAGGAGGAAAAAAGAGGGGAAGAGGAGGAGGACGAGGAGGAGGAGGAGGAGGAACAGGAGGAGGAGGACGAGGAGGAGGAGGAGGACAGGGGAGGAGGACAGGGAGGGGGAGGACAGGAGGAAGAGGACAGGAGGAGGAACAGGAGGAGGGGGGGGAGGATGATGCGAAGGAAAAGGAGGAGGAGGAGAAGGAGGAGGAGTAGGAGGAGGGGGAGGAGGATAATGAAAAGGATGACGGGGAGGAGGACGAGGACGAGGTGGAGGAGGAGGAAGAGAGGAAGGAGGGAGGAGGAGGAGAGGAGGAGGAGGAGGAGGGAGGAGGAGGAGGAGGAGGGAGGGAAAAGGAGGAGGAGGAAAAGGAGGACGAGGAAAAGGAGGAGGAGGGAGGGGGAGGAGGAGGATGGGGAGGCGGAGGAGGGGGAGGAGGAGGAAAAACAAACAAGGAGGAGGAACAAAAAAAAGGCCGAGGAAGAGAAGGACGAGGCGGAGGAGAAGGAGGAGGGAGGGAAGAGGAAGACGAGGAGGACGAGGAGGAGGAAGAAGACGACGCTACTGTAAATCCACAAGTCATCAACGATGATGTCGGAAATATCCATCCCTTTAAGCCAATTTGTTTCATAGGCCCCTACAACCGGTCACTTCCATTGAGGGAACGGCTTCGTTGGGGATCAACCGTTGCATATTTGGAAGCATGCAAAACATTTGTGCATATGATTTCAACGCCGCGTAACTACCTGATTGCTGCGTTTTGACGATCCGGAACCGTGCCATAACACCATCGTTGGTGCTTCAGCACCGCGACTCAACATAACTTCTGCGCCCGCATAGTGCGGAATCCGTCTAACACATCTTTTCTGGTACACTGATCATGGGGATCCGTGAAACCCCTGCACGCTTCCGAAAATAATGTGCGCGGCGCTAAAGCGAGAGGCACAGTTTGAAAAGGAACCGCCCTCAATCAGTGAATTGGTTGCAAGCTTTGCAAAACGAAGGCTCGTGGCGCTAAGGCGAGAGCCGCATGTTGAAAACCACCCGTCCTCAATCCGTGAAACGTTTGCAATTAATAAACACGGATGTGCGCGGCGCTAAGGCGCGAACCACAGTTTGAAAACGAACCGCCCTCAACCAGTGTAAATATTGCAGCTGTTAAACGAATGTGCGCGGCGCTGAGGCGAGAACCACATTTTGAAGACCAGCCGCCCTCCATCTGTGATGTTGTTGTCACTTTTCAAGATTCAGAATCATAGGTGGTGAAGAACTCCCAAGCGAAATGCCCGGCCCGACCTAAACACTGTCCTCGGGGTGCGACGCGGATGAACGATCGATGTAAAGGAGGAGTGGAGGAGGAGGACGGGGAAGAAGAGGTGGAGGTGGAGGAGGAGGAGGAGGGAGGAGGAACAGGAGGACGAGGAGGGGGACGAGGAAGAGGACGAGGAGGAAGGGGGGAGGACGAGGAGGAACAGGAGGAGGAACAGGATAACGAGGAGGAGGAGGAGGGGAGGAGGAGGAGGAAAAGGAAGAGGACGAGGAGGAAGGGGATGAGGAAGAGGAGGAATTTGTTCTGGGAGGGCCGCCCAATCCTTAGTGAGCGAAGAACTCCCTCTGAACGCCGACTTTACGACAGTCGATGCCCCTAAAGCGAAACTTGGAAGATAGCCCCTAACCTCTCGGCCATGAGCCGCGCTGCCCCGAAAGGCGGCCCCACCCCATAGGCGCGAAGCTAGGGCGGGGTGCCACTCATCGGGGGCCGATCACCACCTCCCCCCCCCCCGGCCTCCGACCCCGACGGCGACGACCCCCCCCCCAACATCAGCGGCTGTCCAGCGGCCGCGTCCTTTGGGCGGTGGTGCTGGAGGCTCATCAAACGGCAGACTTGTTACAAATGCGTCTGGGAAGTCCCCCGCTGGCGGCGACCCTGGCGATCTTCCCCTGTCAGGCGGAGAGGAGGAGAAGGCAAGTGAACGGCGGTGGTACAAGGAAGATCTGTCGAGGAGTAAGTGAAGAAACTCTGCTGCTGCTGCTGCTGCGGCGGCCTGAATGCACCCGCTATCAATTCACGGGGCCAATCGGCCTGGTGCAACATGCTGACCGAACCGCTTACGACTTGCCCCTGCCACTTCCCCCGCCCAGCTGCTTTCCCAACTCCCGCCCCAGTGGGCCCGTCGGAGCCTCTCCCGAGAACCGTTTGGCCCCCTGCGCCCTGATGGGGCCCTGCGCCAGCACCTCCCGCACTCTAAGGACCAAAAAGCCCGAACCTATATTGCAACTGTGGGGTGCCCCCGCGCAAGGTTCTGGAGCGTCGCCCAATGCCTTCGCGCAGCGGAAGTGGGTCGCCATCGCGCCGCTCTGGGCCGGGGTGGGCTGCGGGGGCAGCTCCGACCAAAAGTTCATCAAAACAGCGTGTGCCGCGCCCTCTGGGCGTCCTCCTTCGGGCGACAGGTCGTCGATCACGAAGCGCAGCGCCGCCGCGGAGACGCGCGCGAATTCGGGCCCGCACTCTTTCCACTCCACCTTCTCCACGAGATTGACCTGCGCCTTCATGTGCTTGGACGTTGTGTCGTACTCTGCGCTGGCCGTCACCATGATCTGGTCAATATCCTCTGGATTCTACTTGGAGTCTCGAACGCCTCGTGCACCGAGCCTCGAGAGCGGCGATGGCCCGCGCGCTGGACAGGGCCCTGCGGGTGAGTCTGTCCACTTTGCCTCCTGCTTGCTGCTTCGCCGGTGAACCGCCGCCCCCCCTTTCTGGCGCCTCCAATGCTTGGCCCGCGCTGGGCCTTCTCATCCAAGACAGCATGTCGATGTCGTTGGGGTGCGCCACCGCTGCCGGTCTGGCTGGCATTGCGGCGGCACGCTAGGGGGCGAACTTGAAGCGAGCGCACATTTGCTGACCACGCAAGAGAGACAAGCCAGGGGCGATGAACCAAAACATGGCTACAAATATCCTCGGCACTCTGGCCCACAAAACGACATAAACAAGATTTGTAGCTCCTGGGCTCCATCGCGGGCACCGGCGAACGGGGGCCAAAAACCTCCGCCATTGTCTCTCTTCAAAAGCGTCTGCAATCGCCGTGCTGCATCATGTCCAAAGCTAAGGGGCGCGTGTTCGAGGTCACGAGGACGTGGCTAATGTTTCGAAGGTGGTGCCTGTGACAAGGGTGATCCATGGGTCTTTCCTGTTCTGCGACCGAACCTTCGCGTGCATGGCTCATGCGACCCATCTGCCCCTCCGTCGCCGTGCAGGCGCATGGTAGCTCGATAGAGGCTTGCGCGGGCACTTCCTCAAGCTGGAGAGGGGCCGACCATTCCGGAGTTGGAACGACATCACTGACATGACGACTGCGAACCCTGCGAAAATCCACTGCAACAAACTCCCTCGTGCCCACCCCTCCCCTTCCTCAAACGACATCCACGGGCAGTCCGGCATCCTCGATAAGAGGTCTTCAGCGCCGGGGCAGGACTCCATGGCCTCTTTCACGTCGCCTCTAGCCCAAGGGGAAGCGCACTTCGTTAGCCCCGCGGCTGAGCACGGCCACTGATCAGGATGCCCAACCCCAATGTGCCCCCCGAAAAGAGCCAGGAACACCCGAATATGAGACTTCCGATTTCGAGCCCAACTCTGGCACTAATGCAAACGGCGAGCAAGCCGCCCACAGTAAGAATATGCAATTCCTCAAGGGCCCACAACACCTCGAATTGCAAAAAAGAGCGGGTATGATATTCATCATATTAAGCGTGTGCACGTGCCGCGCGCATCAGCGCCGTGCGACCTAGCCGTGCCAAATGCCGGTCCGAGGGGGGATGCTGCTCACCAGAGACTATAGCGGCTTCCAATCCCGACAACAACGGCCCCTAGATAAGACCAATGAAGCTACGCGCTTCCAGGCCTTCGGACTTCTCCTGGATCAGAAAGCGCCCATGCAATAGAACCCTGCGGACGCACCGTATTCATTCGAAGTTCCAGCTGATGCCAACTGCAGCGGGGTGATCATCGGCCCGAAGTATCGAGCAACGTCCGAGACCTGCCCCGCCAGACGACCATTTTCAATCCCATGGGAACGTATGCGCTCCTTTTACCATGTCGAACCTGCTCCCGCGATGTAGAACTGCGTCGCTTGATTCGTTGTGTTTTGCACGTATCCTGTGGTTGTGAGAGAAACAACCGGCAAATCATCAACCTTGTGCAAATAAACAAAAAAACACCTCCATCCACTTCCCGCTGCATAATGGGATAATCCCAAGCAGGTCGTCGGCATACTCCTGATATGACATATCTGCCGCCACCTCAAACAATACACTCTCGAACAAGCTACTACTTGGGATCGGATGTCGAACCATCTGGGCCCACTCCGACACCGGTTTGACGAACGCCCCCGCGAACTTCTGGACGTTGAGCGGGCCCCCCATCACTCCACCGCAACCTCTCTTCATCAGCAACTTTCCCGTCGTCGCCTCATTTTCCACGACCGAAAGAAACGCGGACGGCACAGGGCCCTATCCTGGGGGGCAGAGTGTTCCCGGATAGCAGCACCCGCTGCATTCCAGGCCACGCTTCCGAACGCATTCGAGAGGTCCTTCATTGAGGAGAAGGAGGAGGATCGGATCGGATCGGAATGCCCAGAAGGGGAAGCGCACAACACTGAAACCTGAACAAATCAGGACGACTAGCCAGGTCTCCTGGCCTCTTTCTCCCGGACTCTCTGAAGAAGGGCCGCCATTCACTGCTCATGCAATTGGACATCCCCCGAGACCGATTCCGAGGGGGCTTGCAACTCAACCGAAAGGGGGGTCCTAGGAACAACCGAAACCCTGCGCAAGAC